GCAGTAAAATTACAGATAACACAATAAGACAGCCTGCAATTTACAGTCATTTTAGTGCATGAATCAGGTAACTATATAATACCTTTTCTGCAGTTCACCACAGGTTGTTAGGTGCAGGATCAGCGACAGCCTAGTTGAAAATGGATAAATGGCTAAAAGTCTCAGTTTTTATGAGAAATAAGTCAGAGTTTGTGTTCAGCTTCATTGAATAGAAGCGTGTAATTAAATGATCTTTTCAAAAAATTAGAAGGGATCTTGGCGACATGATGGAAGGACCAAGGTTCACTAGATCAGGTCCTGTAATGAATGAAAACTGGAGAATAAAAAATATATATTGTTGCTTTCTATTTATTTTATAAAAATGTTAAATCAAACCTCTGTTTTTCTCTTGTCTGTTTCACAAGGATTATATAAAAATGACCCATTAAATTTTTATTGTCATACATTCACAGTGAGAACAGGAGTAAAAAGACCCAGAGAGCCTTTAAGTCTTATCTCATTTATCCATCCATCTACTCTATATGTGCTAATCGTTGGAGGGTCTTCAAGTTTGAAGACGTTTCTCTTCCCATCCAGGAAGCTTTTTCAATTCAATGACTTTATAAAGTAGCCCAACAAAGCCTTGTTTTTGCTTAGAAAACATGCAAATTGAAACAAAATCAGATTTCAGCTTTCAAAAACCTGCAATGCAGCAATAGAGTTGATTCCTTCCCACTATCACCGTAACCCCAACCCCTCTTCAGCCAGGCCAACTATTCCCTTTAACGACCCCCTTTCAGAGACATAGACAGGTATGGGGCATTGCAGGCTAACAAACAGCCAAACGACCCCCATTCCAAAGGGGTGGACCCTTTCATCCATTTCAATTTTGAATTGAAAAAGCTTCCTGGATGGGAAGCAAAATGTTTTCAAACTTGGAAAGAAAGTCCAGTGGATTGTTTCTTAACTTTTCTGGAATGACAGGACCAAAAATCATGTAGTCATGCTCCTTTATACTGTTATCAATGTAGAGGCCAATTACCCGATCAGTCATATGTTTGGGCAGTGAAAGATGCAGTGAAACATGCACAGCCAATGTGAACAATTATCCACTAACATGCATAAAGGACCCTGACCTAATTGCTCTAAGGCACCGGATCTACAAACTGTACCACCCTGCAACTCCAAAAACTGTTTCCTGATCATTTCTTGGTATGTAAATTTTGTTCCAACTTTCATTTAAAACAACCAACTTCATGAGTGACTTTAAAGTTGATTATTTCCACATGCAGTAATCCTACACATTTTTTTTTGCTGTTCTTGGACATAAAAATTGTTCACAATAAAGAAAAGGTTTTGTGCTCTCATTAATAAAACATTTCTTAGGATCCATACTAAAAGTGTAGCACACCAAACACCTGAAAATGGAATATATATATAAAAAGAAAAGCATGAATATGCATAAAACCAAGAGATTTTCCCTTATAGGTACAGTTATACCTTAAAGTTCGTGTCCACGGCTCTACTTTAATGTTAGTCCTCTACAGACTCTAATTTAAATGAGCCAGTTGATCTATCCTATGTTATTTCATTGTGTCCATAGCAACTGCAGCAAAGAGAATAAAAGCAAACAGCAGTAAAGGTAAGCACAGTTTAACTGAGGCAGAAATAGATGTATTAGTGAGTAGGGGTGAGTATTGGCTGGGTGTTGCGATTTGAAACATGGAAACATTATTGAACCCCAGTGGGCCTTAGCAGATGGCCGCTCACACTGAGCCTGGTTCTGCTGGAGGTTTCTTCCTGTTCAAAGGGAGTTTTTCCTCTCCACTGTCGCTACAAGCATGCTTAGTGTGAGGGATTGCTGAAGAGTCAATGAGTCGATGCAATCAGCTGGTTCTCCTTAGGTAGAAAACTTTGAATCAATCTGACTGGATGATCTGGTTGAACTGGAAAGTGACCTGAGATGACATGATGGGAATTGGAGCTATAGAAATAAACTGAGCTGAATTAAATACATCACAATATTTGTGCTAAATCTGTGGATTGAACGAACATCCTTCAAATGTCTATGTAATTAGAACTCCAAATTTCCCAGTAACTCACCTACAGTAAATGTCAACTTTTTCAGCTGCTTTTTCCTGCATGACTTAGATGACTGCAAGCTTCAGTATGACGATAACTTTGTTTAAAAATTTAAATGTTGGTTCAATATTTGTTCCTGCCCATTTTGATTGCTCTTTTGAAGAATTGAATCATGCAATAGGAGGGAAATGATGTGAATTGGCGCTATAGAAATAAACTGAATGAATTGAACGATAGTTGGGTAACGATACGATATTATGACGATATTGTGTTGTTTTGAGTCGTTCCAGTTTGACTGCTTCAAATACAGATCTGGCACTGTGTCACGCAGCTAAAGGGCTCCACAGAGCTTTCTGCCAGAGTGGGGAAGAGCTAGCTCATTTTCCCTCATTGTTTTAGGTAAACATGTTTTGTTTTTTAAAATCGACACTAGGTAGTGAAAGATCGATATTATATCGGGCAGCTGAATATCACGATATATCACCAAAACAATTATTTCTTACAGTGAGGTGAAGATTCAGATAAATATGTTTTGTAGCCACAGTAAATGAAATAAAAAATAGCATTAAAGATATAATGGAGGATTTTCGCATGAGGGAAGAGGGAGGGAACGCCTTTTAAACGCGTGCACGAGCCCATTTCTCTTCGTGCACGCTCTGTTTAAAAGCTGCTGTTTCATCCCTCATACAAACTTGCTTTCCAAAAGATTTGTAATTTTTCCACTATGTCAGACTCACCAACGGCTTTACGTTAACATATCACCAGAATGATTGACAGTTAGGAGGACCACTTATAGCTGCAGAAAGAACATCCTCCACTGATGGAGGATGTTAGATTATATAGGCAGCACTGTGCTTGTTGCCGGTTCTGATATCTAAGTTTTATGGATAATATGATGAAATGATTTAGTTCCAAAAAGTGGCGTCATGGAGAGAGCTAATTAATTCTTGATTATGTTTAACACGTTGGGGAATTTGAGCAGGTAAGAGCAGACAGGAACCACAGTGGTGACGGATGTAATTATATAAAATGGTCCAAATTTGAGAGAGCAGAGATTTAATAGGGGCAAAAATGATCCTGTTTCAACCACATCTTCTTATCTTAGGTTGATTATTTTAGACCTTTAATAAACCGGCTGCATCACAAAGCCCCACCCTTTTTCAGTATATATTAAGCATGTAAATTTAACTGGAAGTCAAAAATATATATTTAATTCTATATGCTCAAATTAATGTTAGTTATTTATATCTAATTGTGTTTCCTTAGATCCATGAATCCGGCTTTCCTTCCTTTGTTTTAGATGAGAGGCTGATCTTTTTAACACCTCTGAAGAACAGCCTGGATCCAGCAGGGGGATTTCTTTATTCAACCGGAGATTTAACAGGAGAAGCGGCGCAAGTGAAGTTAGACACTACTGTCGGACAACATGCGGTAATTTATAAATGTTTTAAATCAGGTTGGGTCCGGATTAGCCAGCAGGTGGGTCAGACCGTGGTCAACAAATCCGTGACCTCTGATCTAGAGGTTTAAATAATATGCTAATTTAAATATGAAATAAAAACAATCTAATTAATATCCATTACAAAACAAATTGATAAAAGTAAACGTGAAAATTCTTACTTTTTTCCCCCCATACTGTTTTCTAAGACGGAGTATTAGGGCCGGGCTACTGATTTGTTTTTTTTTTTTTCTATTTTGAGAACAAGATCATCACATTACAAGAATAAAATCATCATTCAACAACCTGTTTCAGAAAGAAAGCTTGGAGCTCCGCCCAGCAGATGATGGCCGACCAGCTCCACCAATCAGCAGCCAGAGTCAACTTTGACATCCTGCCCAGTTTGATGCTGCTGCTAAAAGATTTCCTGATTTGTCAAACCGATGCTAAAGTAGAACTTCACATGATGCTCCACATTCCTCATTTTAGGGAAGACAGGGCTTCTGGGAAGAATTGTCATAAAAGACAACTTGTTTCTCATAATATTACAACGTTATCCTCGTAATTTTACGACTTTATTCTAGTTATTTTTCGACTTTATTGTCGTAATTTTACGACTTTATTCCAGTAATTTTTAACTTTATTGTCGTAATTTAACGACTTTATTCTAGTCATTTTCCGACTTTATTCTCGTAACTTTACAACTTTATTCTGGTCGTTTTTCGACTTTATCCTCGTAATTTTACGACTTTATTCTTGTAATTTTTTAACTTTATTGTCTTAATTTTACGACTTTATTCTAGTCATTTTTCGACTTTATACTCAAAATTTTAAGACTTTATTCTAGTCATTTTTCGACTTTATCCTCGTAATTTTATGACTTTATTGTGGTCATTTTTCGACTTTATCCTCGTAATTTTACGACTTTATTTTATTAATTTTTTTTTACTTTATTGTCATAATTTTACGACTTTATTCAAGTCGTTTTTCGACTTTATTCTCGTAATTTTATGACTTTATTCTAGTCATTTTTCGACTTTATCCTCGTAATTTTATGACTTTATTCTAGTAATTTTTTTACTTTATTGTCGTAATTTTACGACTTTTATCAAGTCGTTTTTCGACTTTATTCTCGTAATTTACGACTTTATTCTAGTCATTTTTCGACTTTATCCTTGTACTTTTACGACTTTATTCTAGTCATTTTTCGACTTTATCCTCGTAATTTTACGACTTTATTCAAGTAATTTTTTTACTTCATTGTCGTAATTTTACAACTTTATTCTAGTCGTTTTTTGTCTTTATCCTCATAATTTTATGACTTTATTCTAGTCATTTTTTTACTTTATTCTCGTAATTTTACGACTTTATTCTCGAAATAGAAGAAAAACAAACCTGAAAAAAAAAACCTAATACTCCGTCGTAGTTTTCTCTAATATTGCAGTCTTGAGGAATTTAATGTCTGATTGCTGCTCTTGGAAACATTATTTAAGCCACTCACCATTGCCAGAGGAAGGATTGCCTGGATGTCTTTCTGAACCACTGTGAGCTCCGTCACGACCTTTTCTGAGTCGGGCACCGGGTTCTGTCCCTTATAGTCGATGTTCCAGTTGATCCTCCTGGTCACGGAGAGGCTGGTGAAGTTCTCCATCTCAAAATCCAACTGCATAACCTCAATGTTCCCCAACACATCGCTGCAAAGTCATAAAAAAAATAATAAATACACACAAAATATTCAGATGACATGAAAATTGCTGCAGACCACAGAGAGGAGCTGTGATATTTCTAGAAAAAAGGTAAATGACAGAATATAGCTTATAATTAGTGGTGTTACAGTGTTTAATATGCAATATGTATTGAGTAAGACGTTACTCCCCTCCACTGTTAACGATGGCCCCAAGTCGCCCGTTAAGTAAAGAAATATGGATTTTCACATTAAAGCCAGATTCATAGAGACACTTGGTGGCTTTAAGTTGGCAATTCTTCACATTCAAGACTATATGAGAATAGAAGTGTTAACGCTTTTAAACGGTAATGTTCTATTCATCTGTTTTGACTGATAACATAAATTAGTTTCAACAAGTGTGAGAAAATAAATAAAAATGTCTTATTTTGTTTTCAGCTCAATTCACTGGCATTTATTCCAGCCTGCATTCTGTAAGTTGTCAAACACATTATTTTATCCCTTTTCATTCTGTCTTCAGCAGCATAAGAAACTTCAGTTTGATTTGGATAAGAACATTTTGCACAGCAGCTCATGTCTTAAAAGTCACTGCGAACTCTTTTACTTTTTAAATAACATTAAAAAAATTGCCTTGCTCGTAGGGATTTTACTTGGATAGGAAACATTTTTTAAATATGTAATTGGATTTATATACTGTATTTTTAATCAAGAGACTAATGAAAAGCAAGACAAACATCAAGTCTGATTCTTGTTTTTTATTTGTATGAGGATAAAAATGGTATTTTTTAAACTTTACTCAGACTTGCAAAGGATAAAAATTGTATTTTTTAAACTTTACTCAGACTTGCAAAGGCAAAGAACAAGAAGTTCCATCAGATGGGACTCAAGAACCAAAAAAGGTGTTTGATATTGTCATCCTCTTTATTAAAACTAAATCCTAGACAGCAGGTTGCTCTATCTTTTAGTTCAAAGTTCATAAACTGAATAAATAATTCCTGATGCACATCGGAAAATTAAGAAAGAGTCGGTAAAACCTAACAGAGAAAAAGTGGAAAAACTGATCTGTTTTATTGCAATATTTGCAAGATGATGTTATAAAGTACTACCTACTTATTGATCTAACCCATATTTTCTGAGGTATACACTGGAAAAACGATCTTGAAAAAGGTAAAAATGTCTTAAATTAAGTGTATTTATCCTTAATTTGAGTTGGTAAATGAGATAGTTTGCCAATGGAATAAGTATTTTTACTCTTAAAATAAGATATTTAGATAATATGCACTTGGAATAAGACAATGCAATTATGTTTTCTTATTTTAAATCTAAATAGTCTTGTTCCATTGGCAAAATGTATCTTTTATCTCCTCAATCCAAGAACAAATGCACTTATTTTAAGAAAAAAATTACTTATCTGGATTTAGATTTTTTCCCGTGTAAAACTGTGAGTTTAAACTCTGTCAGGGTGTTTTGCAGAAAAGATAGCTGTCCTGTTTCTGCATCCTGGGGCCGGGTGTAGGTCAAACCCACAGCCCGTATGTATAGCGGCCATGTTTGGCTCTGAGCAAGCTTCTGTTAAGCGCATCATGCAATAAGCTGCTTGTTTGAAGTAAGGTTGTTTAACCGGATAAGTTACGTCTGTCTGAAAACATTTAACAAGATCATGTTCCTCTGCCTGGCTGTGTGTTTCCTGGACGGGGCCACCTTTTACAGCTGCTTTTTGTATCTCTGCTTCTGTCTCCTTGAACCCCAGTGGGCCTCAGCAGATGGCCACTCACACTGAGCCTGGTTCTGCTGGAGGTTTCTTCCTGTTAAAAGGGAGTTTTTCCTCTCCACTGTCGCTACAAGCATGCTTAGTGTGAGGGCCGGCGATTGCTACAGGCGAGCTAGGCAATTGCCTAGGGCGACAAATGTGTTGGGGGCGCCCTCTAGCGTCGCCCTTAGGCTTACTTCCCATTAATCATAGAATTAGAAAAAAAAGCGAATTAAACCGGTTATGAAGCGTCCGTCAGTTTGACTTAACCTTACGTATATATAAATAGCAAAATATGAACAAATAAATATACCACCGTTTTTTTATTTATTTTTTCACATTTAAGAGAAAATCGGAAAAGATTCTGATCACTTTTCAAGCGCCCTCCAACCCGGAAGTCGTGACGTCAATCACTGCAGCATGTACACCAATATTTTGGAATGAAATTGTAAGCAAACAGATATTAAAAGTAAAACAAGTGAAGTCTGGCAGTTAACTTAGCTCGCGACTCGAGGATGGCTGAACGGAAAAGACTCCTCCTCCTCCTCCAGCTGCCGCCGCAGTCGGGCCCGTCTTAATCATCCACTCAGAGTACCACTGGTGAGCGCACACAGACTTTGTAGCTTGTCCGGTCAGTTAAAAATATTAATTGTGAAATCCGTCTTGTAATCGGAAGCATACAAGCTAGTTAGCTTGAAAAGTAAATAAAGTTTCAGACGTGCTGCGTGATGATGTGTTCAGATTGGCTCAGTAAAACGACAATTAGGTTATCATGATGCGTTCAAGTGTAACGTAAAGAAAACGGGAAATTTTGTTTTTGGCGAGAAACATGAGTAATACAGTTGTATATTGCTCTATATATAATTAAACTACTGATGCCAACATTTATTAAAAACTCAATCTCGCCTAGGGCAACCAAAGGGCTAGAACCGGCCCTGAGTGTGAGGGATTGTATTTGAGTCAACGAGTCGATGCAATCAACTGGTTTTCCTTAGATAAAAAACTTTGTATCAGTTTGACTGTATGATCTGGTTGAACTGTAAAGTGCCTTGAGATGACATGTGTTGTGAATTTGGCGCTATAGAAATAAACTGAATTGAATTGAATGTTTGTTGGTATTTGAGTTGGACTGACGTAATTCAGTCCAACTTAAATGTGAGCAGCTGATAGATTTGGATCAAACCGCTGCTTTTGTAAGAAAATAAATAATTTTGTTTGGTTCTTGGAAGCCCGAATCTCCTTGGTTTTAGGAAAAAAAAGGACAGCATAATAGAACTGGAGCCTAATGGATGATAATAAGAATAACAGTGAAGGTCTGTAATTAGGGGGGTGTTGAGATTGTAAGTAGCAGGATGTCGGAAAAAATTAATGCAAAGGTAGGAAGAAATGATTGTCACCAGGAGGCTCTTATTGATAGCATGCTCTTAAACTGTAATGGAGAAAGAAAATGCTTTTGTCGTTGCATCTATAACCAACGGAACATGACAAGTGTCAAATGTGGAAAAAAAAAACAAAGTCGGTGGAAATCTTTGCTCATGCTTAACTAAACTGTGCTTTCGGTTTTTCTCATTCTGTGCGCACAAATTACTAAACTCTGCTCCTGGTTTTCCAATTTATATGCACAGATTGTAAAACAGTTTATTACAGAGTGTACAGTTTATCAAAATGTGTTCAGAGATTTGCAAAAACTAATACCAGTTTAGTCATCCTTGCACACATCTGCAAAAGCTAAGCTTACTTCCTTATAAGCGGTTTTATTCATCCTCTTTATGAAAAATATTATTATACATATAATTGATTGAAGTAGTGATTGAAGTAGTGATTGTCTATTAATAAAAATACCATCCAATCAATAATCAGTTTAATTCCAGCTTAGTTCATTTGTTCCCCTCTTTTAACTATAAAGGCTGCTAGTTTTCTGCAACCTGTTCAAGTCGATCTCTGTAGCTTTGCCTCCTCTGCACCTCCATGTGCAGCACAGAAAAGTGAACAAATTTTTCCTATCCACCAAACATGCTGGTGATGCAGGAGCGATAAGAGCCAACCTGTTATCAAACTCCTGCGTCGTGGTCCTATAATCCTCGGGTTCAAGAAGCCTAACATTAAACTGTCTCGCCGGCGGTGAAGGGGCAAATTAATTCTCTCTCCAGTCTTGATGGGGGTTGTCCCGCCCAGACATCACCTTTCGCGGAGAGTGAAGCATTCGCTGTCTGCTTCTCACAAAAAGCAGGAGCCCGCCCCCTGAATTCAGTGTGTGAGGCTTTTAATGAAAGCCAGATCAAACTCCGTAAGATCCTCCGCCTACACCGGATTCCTCTCTCAGGAACATCATGATGAGATCTCTGCCTATTTGTCTCGACATCACTCAGAGAAAACAAACACTCCTGTCTGTGACTCAGTGAAGCCGTCTTCAATGCTGCCCACCGGAGGGGAGGAGAACAGGTACAGTCGCTGGAAATAAAGCCAACTCTCTCCACATTAGGAGGGACAACAATGCTCAGACTACAGGGGCTGGGGTTTAAGTTGACAAGTTTTATCCATTAGTGTCTGAATAAGAATTAAAATTATTTCTGCTGCACGCTTATTTAGGAAAGACTGAGGTGAGATTGACAGGAAGAATCTAAAGACACTTCAGGAATTAATAAACGCCTCACCGCTTCCATATACTAACATCAAAAACCTTTGTAGTAGGTCATGCTGGTGAAGATTCTCAATCCTCCAGGTCATTGACCTGACTCCGCCAGATGGATTTGCTCTGCATATCCATCTGGAAACCTTCTGTTGAAGTAATTTTGGGAAGGGGCGAAAATACTGGTTAGCTGACTGGCCTATGTTGGTGATAGACGGGCCAAATAAACCAATCAGATCAACGAAGCATATGACGTACTAACAGAGCGACGACGAAAACACAACCACAAGCCAGGCTAGTCTTGCTGCTGCAGGTAAAGGCTCGTTAGCTCAGCAAATAAGCAACATGTCGGCAAAGGATATTATATTTCAGTGAAGAAATACTCTGTAATTCCGATAAAACTTGCTCGATAGCCACGCTAACGCGTTTCATCGGCTGAAGCCGCCATGTTCTTTAGACTGAACTGTCGCGCTTCTCGTTGCGTCACACCTCAACCCGCCTCAAAGCCAACGCTGATTGGACGTTCGTTTGGTGAACGGCTCCAAATTTTCTTCAACGGAGAGTCTCCAGACTGATCTGCGAGTGATACCTTGAAAGCTCGAGAGATCAGGATGGTCTCACGAGGCTAGCA